GACATTTTCTGAGGAACTATGGCTCTAACAGACGCGAGGTGGCAAAACTTTTTTGTTTCAGCGGCTGCATCTACGCTTTTTATACACGTTATTGAAAGGCACATGAGATTACTTCCGCTCGACGTGCCGAAAAGTAAGCTTGTCTGATATAACAGCTTTTGACCCACAGAGGAGGTGTTAAACATGGATTTGTTGGACTGGTTAACAAAGGATGATGCTTTTGCTATTAGAGCCCCGCTCCACCGCCGGCCTCTTCCTCTCATGCACCCCCTCCCCCCACGACACGCATACGCCTCGCGGCTCGGCCGGCATATCCATTGATAACGTTGTTAATATAGCGAAGTCATTAAAGTTAACACAGCTGTATCTTTATTACTTGTACTACTCATAGGTATAGCCAAAGCCTATACATAGATTTTAGGATCTCGTATTAGGAGTAATCCTAGATATATGCTCCTGAGCGCGAATCGGTAAGGCAGGAGCGGCGCACTTGATTCGGTTGCCAGTAAGTTTATCAGAAGAATACCGTGGCTACAGTACACCGTCAGTTGAACGGCTGAGTGCTGTGCTGCGGCACTTGTTGATGCTATAATGTTGCACTTAAATTTTACAAAAGATTATCAATGCGGCTTGTATCGTTGGAATATGTCTACGTAAACATTGTATATAAAAGAAAAATACAGAATTATGTCTCTTTGTACTGGCTTTAGTTGGGAATTTGTATCAGTTAATAGATTTCAAAGTTTTTAAACCAATAATATTCTGTAGGTCAATATTTCTATGCATGGCAGCCTATTCTTTGTTTAGCTTGCTCTAACCCTGTTTATATGGCAGTTCCTTATAGGTTAATAGCAGCGCAGGTTCTACAGTGCCATCACACCATGAGGATGTGCATTCGCATCGATTCATGAGAAACTGGGTACCCATTCACAATCAACATAGTCGCTCTATGTTCAACATGGAATCACCACACACATGGCCTAACCTACTGGCCACTATCTCCTGGCTTTCGGGAACCTAGCTACAGGGTTGTAGTAGTGTAAGACGGTACGAGTGTTGTAGCATCATAACATATGGTTGCATGATGCAGGTACACACAGGAGACCTTTCTCCCAAAAAGATTTTGTTTCATTTCGAATTTTCAGCTCTGGCTAACATAATTTGCTTCTTCTAGTATTGAATCATAATGTGTCTAAATGTTTAGTGGCACACATAAATAGTAACTTTAATTGTGCCTGCAAATAATATGCCAGTCAGCGTAGGCAATCATTCTATCAAATCCATGGGTGGTGTGCAGCTTTAAACAATCACTATATTCACCAGATGGCCTTTACATGGATCGCGAGCCATTTGAGGAGAAAATGTTTCCTCTGCCAGATGAATGGACTTTGACATGGTCCCCCTTAACAAGGTATGCATTGGTCAACCTTGCTGCATGCTTTAGTTTAGTAATACGAGTTGAGCGATATACGACCAAAGAAATGCCACAACAAGGCTTTATTGGCGCCACGTGTAATATTGATGCCCAGAGTGCGCCAATTTGGTATCATTAAAAACGCTTGATAGTATCTGACGCAATTTGTCAAGTAACGATCGACCTAATTTGGCGTTAATTGTACCTGTATATGGTTCACGACGCCTATGGCTTTGCGCATTTTCAAACATTAAAAGTAGTCAAACATATGCAGTTTTCAGTTAGTTCACATTAGTTTATGGTTTAGGGTGTGAGTATTGTACTACATGGCAATAGTTTTACAAGTATTAAGAAAGTTGGGAATATGATATTGTATTATTATAGTATGTGGTCGTGTGTGTGTGTGCAGGGGTCGAAGATTAAGCCGGTATCTCCGTATCCGCGGGCAAGTAGATTCTTAGTGTTGGATACTCGCAGATTTCAATGTTGGTATCTCTGCCGGAGAGTGAGTAAAAAAAATAAATCGCAAAATTGGCGGAGTAGTTGCGTGCGATTGTTGAGTTACTCACGTTTATACGCAGCGGCAATCTGAGCGAGGTGCCGCGCTAGAGCGACGTGCGCGCGAATCCTGAAGCGGGCTCAGGCCAGCTTTACCCCACTAGCGTTATACAGCAGGATAGCATATTTGCAAAGAAGCAATGTTTATCATAAATGTGATGTGTATATACATTGTGATCAAGCGAACCAGACAACTGCGTCTAGGGACAAATACATCGGCAGGTACTGTGGAGCGCGTATGTCAAGATGAACCGCCGAGGCGATAGAGAATTTTGAAGGCCAAACAATTGTTTGAAATTACTATCAAAAAATGGCCAGATAACACATTTCAATCAGACTCCAGCCTGAATATCCCAAAACATAGGACCGATACCATAAAATCACAAAATCTAATTTTGACCCCTGGTGGATAACAGAAAGCGCCAAAGAACGGGATGAATGTGAGATACAACACGACACAAAAACCCATGAGATGAATGATGAGTGTGTAGTGGCTAGTGAGAGAAAGACCGGACAGCCCCTGTCGTTCGGAAAGACAGAAAACCCGCACACAACAACCAGCACCAAAGCCAAAAACAAGGGGAAGCCAAAAAAAATGAAAAAAGAAGCGAGAGACCACGGCGAAACAAAGGAAAGCATAGGAACACCGGAAAAGAGGACACCGCCTAACCACAAGGAACAAAAAAGGGAAGAAAAAAAAGGACAAATGGGACCCATACGAAGACAGCGCAACTAGGACAACAGAAACCAAGGAAGAAAGGAGGATGTGGCACGTTCCGCCCGTAAACCAGCCGTGAGCGCCGCTCAGCAAGTAAACCAAGGCCTGCGTGCACTGCGTGCGATAGCGTCGGCGGAGAGGCCTAGAGGTGCGTCGTCGAGCGTGCGGCCCGCTGTGGTGTGTGTGGTTAGGAAAAAGCAATTCAATTAAAAACAAATCGGCTGTTCAAGATAAATACGTTCTCGAAGGTTACGATATGACTGTTTGGTTGACAAACGATATTAGACATACTGTGAACCAGGGAAAAAATTAAAATTAATTTTTCGGGGGCTACTTTTCAAGCTCGCGTGCATGAAAATAACACTCTGAAATTTGGTTTGCATTGAACTCTATGCAAATTTACGGGGGCTCTTTTGGGCATTTCCGGGGCTCTTTTGGGCATTTCGGGGGCTAAATCGCCCCGAGCCCCCGTGTATTTTTTTCACTGCTGTGAACCTATTTAGCCAGTGTAGGCTTCAGGCATCTTTATCCTCATCATGGCATGCTATGCTTGTCCATCTCTTCCTGTGTCGTTCTTTGCAGGGTGCGAGCTAGAAATGGTATTAGTTTCAAGGTTTTATTGCTCTCGAATTGTGTAGTGGACAATTATGTTTTTATTAGTTCAGTAATCTAGTTCTTGATTTAACTGAGATCACACACAGGATTACAGCAGACCTTGTTGTTTATGAGAGTGTGATGGTGAAGCCTAGCGCAGGCCTGTGATTTTTGATTGCTCGTCGCTGCAGCCGCAAGCGATCGGTTGATGTGTCGCCAGTGTGTGCGCACACATGCGATTTCGAAGCAATGCTAGAGCGATTTGGGAGCGACGAGTCGCTTAAAATCAAGACAGTTTGATTTATTGCAACTCGTCGCAAGCGACCAGAATCGCTACAGGTTGCAGTTGCACATCCATAACTTGCCTCGTTCTCTTCATGTGTTTGTAAAATGTTACAGGATCGCATTACAATGCTGAAAAACTGCCTGTCAGAGACACAGTGTAGCCTGCAGGAGACTAAAAACCGGGCTGAAGAGCAAGCCATCGACCAAGCACAGAAGGACAGAAAACTGACAGAGGCCCAGGAAACCGAGGAACAGCTATGTAAGTAAACGGCAATATTATCACTAAGGCACAATGAGATAATTAGTAAAAAGTCGTTATGATGCGCGCAATCGGCTTAAACGGTTGAATAAAAAAAATATATTGTATATTGGCGTGTGCGTGATTTGCTGTGTCAGTGAGTGTGCTGCTAATAACGTAGGCAAGACATTTCGAATCTCGTCTCTTGTTCATGAAGCTAGATTGGCCGAAACAACTCGCTGCGTTGATGCAGGACATGATGGTAGTGCTTGTAGGGGCGAGCATACACAGTATAGCAAAATTTTACAAAAATTATCAATGCGGCTTGTTATGTGAATATGTCTACGTAAACATTGTATCAAAAGAAAAATACAGCAATTATGTCTCTTGTACTGCTTTAGTGGGAATTTGTATAGTTAATGACTTTCAAAGTTTTTAACCAATAATATTCTGTAGGTCATATTTTATGCATGCAGCCTATTCTTTGTTTAGCTTGCTCTAACCCTGTTTATTGCAGTTCCTTTATAGGTTAATAGAGCCAGATTTTAACATGCCATCACACCATGAAGATGTCATTCCATCGATCATGAAGAAACTGGGCTACCCATTCACAATCAACAAGTCGTCTATGTTCAACATGGCATCACCACACACATGGCCTACCATACTGGCCACTATCTCCTGGCTTCGGGAACTAGTACAGGTGTGTAGTGTAAGACGGTACAGTGTTGGTACATCATAACATGGTTGCATGATGAGTACCACCACAGGATGACTCTTTCTCCCAAAAAGATTTGTTTTCATTTCGATTTTCCAGCTATCTAACATTAATTTGCTTCTTCTAGTATAATCATAAATGTGTCTAAATTTTATGCACACATAATAGTAACTTTAATTGTGCACTGCAAAATATGCCAGTCACAGGCAATCATTCTATCAATCCATGGTGGTGTGCAGCCTTTAACAATCACTATTTTCACCAGATGGCCTTTTACATGGGATCGAGGATTGAGGAGAAAATGTTTCCTCCTGCAGATGATGACTTTGACATGGTTCCCCTTAACAAGGTATGCTTGGTCAACCTTGCATGCTTTATTTAGTAAGACGATTGCAGCGATATGGACCAAGAAATGCACAACAGGCTTTATTGCCAGTGTAATTGATGCCCCAGTGCCCCAATTTGTATCATTAAAAACCTGATAGTATCTGACGCAATTTGTCAATGTAACGATCGACCTAATTTGGCGTTAATTGTACCTGTATGGTTTCACACCCTATGCTTGCCATTTTTAAACATTAAAATATCAAAATATCAGTTTTCAGTTTAGTTCACATTAGTTTTGGTTTAGGTGTGAGTTATACTACATGGGAATAGTTACAAGTATTAAGAAAGTTGGGGAATATATATGTATGTATATATATGTGTGTGTGTGTGTGTGCAGGGGTCGAAATTAGCGGTATCCCGATATCCGCGGGACAGTAGATTCTTGTGTTGGATACCAGATTTCAATGCTTGGTATCCTGCCGGAAGAGTAAAAAAAAAATCGTTAAAATTGGGATAGTGCGTGGTTGTTGAGTTATCAACTTTATACGGCAGCGCATCTGAGCGAGTGCGCGTAGAGCGAGTGCGCGCGATCTGAGCGGGCTCAGGCACCCTTACGCCACACTAGCGTATACAGCAGGTATAGCATATTTGCAAGAAGCCAATGTTTATCATAAATGTGATGTGTATATACATTGTATCAAGCGAACCAGACAATGCGTCTAGACAATACATCGGCAGTGTACTGTGGAGGCGTATGTCAAATGAACGCGAGCGATGAGAATTTTGAAGGCAAACAATTGTTGAAATTACTATCCAAAAAATGGGATACCAGATTTCAATACCTGGTATCCCAAATGGATACCATAATAAAAATCTAATTTTGACCCCTGGTGTGTGTGTGTGTGTGTGTGTGTGTGTGTGTGCGTGTGTGTGTGTGTGTGTGTGTGCGTGCGTGCGTGCGTGCGTGCGTGCGTGTGTGCGCGTGTGTGTGTGTGTTTAGGAAAAGCAATTCATTACAATCCTGTTCAATTGTTGCAGTTACGATATGACTTTCTGGTTACAACGTACCAGAAATACATGGCTGGTGCTGATAAGTTTGATGAAGTGATTGAGGATGTAAAGAAACAGCTGAGTAAGTACAAAGGAACAGTTGCCAAGGGAATCTAAAAACACCAAAGTCCATTTTCAGGTATCCCCCCAGAGGTCGAAATTAGCGGTATCCCGATATCCGCGGGATAGTAGATTCTTGTGTTGGATACCAGATTTCAATGCTTGGTATCTTGCTGGGATAGTAAAAAAAAAAATCGTTAGAATTGGGATAGTGGTTGTTGAGTTATCAACTTTATACTGCAGCGCATCTGAGCGAGTGTGCGCGATCTGAGCGGGCTCAGGCATCCTTACTATGCCACACTAGCGTTATACAGCAAGGTTACAGCCCTCCCTATACAGGGCTTGAAACTAACGCTCGCCCGAGGCTAGTAGAAATCAGTAAGGGCTAGTAGAATGTCTGGGCTGACCAGCACTGTTGGCGAGTGGGAATGCCTACCAGATAACATATTACCAAGAGTACATAATAGGAGATCTCCTATTATGTACTCTTGATATTACTAGTACTTTTTCAGCAACTACTAACCCGACCGAACTAGTATTAATAAGTAGTATAAAACTTTCGTGTGCAAACATAATAAAATTGCAAAACCTAAACATAACAGTCACGATGCTGAACGCTGCCACGGATACGGTAGACTTTACTACCCCCAAAACAAAAACACACAAAAACACATTAATCCCCTCACAGTGTATACCCAATACGGTTCTGTTCTACTTTCTATTTATGTTCGTGGACCGGTTAGTTTACGTTTCAGCTGACCTCAGGGTTAAACACTACAATCCCTCCTCTTTTCAAATGAAAAGATGATTTCAGTTTGACGTTTGCTAAATTAAAATAAGCAAATTCGAAACTCAACTTTACTTATACTGAGTTGGAATCACCCTGGCTAATATACAATCCAGTCTCTGTGTCAATTGACGTGGAATAGTAGTCACGGTTTTGTCAGGTACTGTTATGAAAATAACCCGCATATATACCTTTAAACCTACATTCCTGTAACTGGTATTCTAAGTTTTTTATAATACGAAGTTTATCCTAACACTAGCATATATAACACGCTTCTATGTGGCTTATATTCAGTCAACTAATATAATTGCAATACAACTCTACAAATCTCAAACTATTACAAACAGGATAACTCAACTTATAACTGTATACTGTACTTGTACTAACTACTAACAACCTCTGTA